GGTCCTTCTCTTCAACCACCTCCTCAAATGGCTGGAGGTGATGGCCGTCCCCAAACTAGCTATGTCCAAGATTGAAATTCCCCTTGCTCCCCAGTCGGGTGACATGTAAGCAGTGACCGAGTCAGTCAGCCTGCAGCAGTCAGTCCACCAGCAGGCTGGAGAGCGAGCATACACTGAGGATTCAAAAATGTGCTTCTTAAAATCAGGAAGCCCTCGCTGGTGACAGGCGGGAACAGGCCACAAGAAGCATGAGCGCATTTAGTACCGCGATCACCCCTGCTCATTAACTAGAGAAGGGAGTACCGTGTGCTGTTCCCTCACGACTGAGAATCAGCATCTTTGCTCCAGCCCTGTGTGATAGATCATTTTACTTTTGGCAAAACTTCTCATCAAACTGAATTCCCCCAGCAGTCCCTTACACCCAAAATGGATCCATAGACACCGTCTGCTCAAATACACAAAACATCAGTTAGGCCACCCCAAACTATAGTACCACAGGATAGGAAACAAAACCCCAGTTCCACAGTGCCGCTAGCCTGGGTCCAGCTTGGGGATTTCTCTTTGGGGTTTCCACACCACTGGCTCAGGTTTCTCCTAGCTTTTGCTTCCACAATCAGTGTAGCGCAATCTTGGTGACATCCAACAGGTTCCCGGCATTTTTGTATATTTATGTTATTAAAGCTGTAAATTTTAATTACGTTGGGTTATTTGCATGAGGACTGGCCATGGGGGAAGAGGAGAAAAATCCATCTAATTGTCGTCAAGGACCTTACAGCCACAAGAAAATGAAAGAGAGGAAAGAGGGAGGCTGGATGATGTGGGGTCATCTGCGGCGTTGGTTGACAATTCCCCCAAGCCCAGACTATTAGGGCAGGCCAAGGGTTTAACCAGCCAGAGCTCACCTCCCAGTTAAATTGTTTTATAACTCCTAAGGTGATAGCAAATGAAGAAGTGGATAGAAGTCACTGTGTGTCATATACACAGTCATTTGCTGTGACTAAAGGGAATGGCGCTGTATGTCTCATACTACTGATCTCTTAGGCAATTTGAGAAAAACTCAGAACTGGACAGTTATCCATGTTCTCCAGAAGCACTTAGCGGGGAAGGAGTTTTCCAGTAAAACTTCTCTTAAAAACAACACCTTGGAGAGGCTTTCTGGAGAAGCAGGGGCTCCAGGGTATTAACACACCGCCTTTCTCTCTCCCCTGCTTGGGCAGACTTAATCCTCACAGATGTTTTTCCTGCCAAATACTTGTCTTACATGTAGTCTAAGACGGTGTTTAAAATTTCCAAAATTCCTTCTACAAGGGTATTCCTATTTCCCCTGGAAAACGGGCTCAAATCGATGTTAGAAACTGACACAGGTGTCAGAAATCCCACCCTCTTTCCAGAAAAGAACCGAGTATGTCTGAGGTAATGTCCCTTCTTAACAAATTCTTAATTTCTCCCCCTAATTGTAGACAGAGTAGATGCTTGCCACATAAGATGAGAATCTCTGCCTGTTTCTCATGTATCCTTAACCGTTACTGGAGATCCCTTGGAATGGAGGCTGTCTGTTAAATTATCTGCTGTGGGGAGAGGCTATTTGTAACATTTTCTATTCCGAGTACTTAGCCTTGGAACACAGAGAACAGCAGACTTAGTGCTAAGCAAACACTAAAGTGGATTTCAGGGCTGGTCCCCGTCTTCATAAGGCAACGCTCCCATGCTGGTGGTGCTATCAAATGCTAAACCATTGTTTTTTACTTGCTGGGCAGAAGAAAGTAGTTTGCCCCAATTCAGATATGCAGCCTGATGCCTCGCATTGACAAGAAAGTCTTGCAGCAAGTCAAATAATTTAGGAAAATCATCTTTGTGATCTACTCCATAAAGGTATGTGTGTTTGGTATATTTCCTCATACTTAGTGATATTTCTTGTAATCCCATCAGTCCACTGGCATTCACGTGTTGTACAATTGCAACTCTATCCTTATTCTGATAGAAGTTTAGAAGCCTATAGCTTAAAATTTAAAAGCTCGTTGCCCATCAATGTTTCTAATGTCTTATAAATCAAAGATCATATTCAATTTTAAAGCACACAATTAAAATAAAATAATTTTGGAAGTATGCTATAATCAATCAACATTAGAGAATATAAATCCTGATAAAAAAACATTCACCAATGTTTTCTTCTGCTGACAAGAAAAATAAATCCCTGTCTTGTTTTTCAATCTTCAAATTATTTTGATTTCCTAAAACTCATCCCAAATCTTAAGGTTTTTTTGTTTTGTTTTTGTTTTTCTTATTGTCCAAAGGGCTTAGATAGTGCCTTATGTAATACAAGGACACCTCCACATTGGCCAACTTGCAGAATGAGAATTTTAAACAAAAATGTCCCAGACCTTGATTATATGTGATTACAACCTGCCTGCCTGGTGAGCTTGTAGTGCTTCCCATGTCAGGGACAGACACACACCGTGAGAGAACCACCTTCACCTGATGAGAACGGAGGCCTCCACAGAGGCGCTGGGCCGCTACCTTCCCGGGTGGCCGGGCTGACTCCAGTAAAACAAACAACCGACAGAGCCATTACTCATTGTCGTATCTCAAGTGTTTCCCTAGCTAAGTGCAACTCTAAGACCCAATATAAAGCACAAAAACAAAACCTGTTCTCATCTTCTCCCTGGTTTTACCAAAGTCGGTGACCTCGTTCAAAATGAAAACCATTGCTAATCAGCCAACCCAGACCTTAAAAGGTGAAAAGATTTCCATAGCCCCTAGCCGCTAGGCAACTTTAAGACTGATGTCTCCCTCGTTTTGAAAGAGAGTGACACTTGGGGAAGACTTGATTGACCTCACTGAAGTAACTACGAAAACTAAAACATTCACTTAATTCACAAATGCCTCCAAGTCCCAGGGGGAGCGGGGGAGCAGATACCTTGTTTGCACCCCAAGGCAGGCAACCCGCTACCTCTTTTCAAAGATGGTCGATGCCAACAGCACCTCACAACAACATAAAAGTGGTTGCTCAGATTAAATTATGCAAACGTAGTTTCAAAATAGCCCGCTCAGGTTTCAGCGCATTACACGCGGGCCTGCAAAGCGCTTGCGTGTTGTGCCCCGTTCCAGGGGAATTTCTGTGGGCGCAGAGGGAGACACAAATCCCAAATCACCCTTGTAAAGAAAAGCTCTGAGATATAAGAGCACGGACATCAAATCCCATGGGCGCATCCACCCGCCTTGGACCTTGTCCCTGAACATGGATCTGTCCCCAGTCCGTGGGCACTGCGGCAGGGCTCCACTCTGGCCTGTAAGCAGAAAGGGGCCATCTTTGGAAGGCTCCCTCTTGTCTTTCAGACATAACGTATTCCAGAATTTTCCAAATGAGGGCACAAATAAATAATTTACATTATTAACTACACGAAGAAACTAAATCATGTCTTAAATTATCCATTTCCACAAATTGGCTATTCGCTCCCTAGCTGGCAATACATCAAACAGCCATCTATGAAGTTTTTTTTTTTCCTTGGGGGAATAAAAAGTTCTGAGTTTTTAATCTGGTTAAAGCTGAGAGAAACCCAGGCTGATCACTAAAAGCAAAGTGGTTTTGGTAAAATTAACATGCTGATTGCAGTACATAAGTCACTGGTTCACGAAGAAAGTTGTTTCAAATTCATAGCCTATCAACTTGGAGGTTTTAGGAAGTGAACTTTGGATTTTAGCAGTTTTTATCTGTTGCTTTATATTCATGTCCAGGACTGAAGATAAACTTCAAGAGTTACAGAAACTGTCAATCCTTGTTAGGATTTGCTGAAATGCTTTGCAAAACCAGGGGAAAAAATGTTAGGAAATATTTTCACTTTTAAAAAGTTGTCAATTCCAAGTAGCTGGAAGTTAGGTAAAATACCAAAGTTGTAGGCCCAAAACTTCATAAGCAGAGTAGGACTTTAGGATTTGACCAGCCAACAGATAGGAACCATTTTGTCCTACAACATGACCGCACCCGTTATTGATGGCAAACTTGAATTTTTACTTTTTCTATTACATAACTTTTTTTGAAGCCATTCATATTTGACTATTTTCTTTCATTTCAATTCCACATTTGTTATTTCTCTTAGTCGTTACAGTGAGTTTACATAATTCCCAACATAAGTATAGCCAACCTAAAAAAAAACGCTTCAGCTCCCCATGTAAGTTTTCCTGAATTTACTCGCATTTAGGGCCTGTTTGTTTTGTGGAAGTACTCAACTCATTCTTAAGCTATTTTTCGGGGCTTTGTCACAGGCTGACCAAACCTTAAACAAAAGAAGGAGCCTTCAAATAATCCAACATTCTAGGCCTCAAACTGTCAAAACAAGACTTTCAAGGACTGGAGGAAACCAGACACTGGTGTTTTGCTTTTCCAGGATCCAGACAGGCTAAGGGGCTTCCTGAGAAGCCCTGACCACCCCAGCCTCTGGACAGACCTACATGGCAAGGTTCGCCCTTAACTAGTGGGAACCGTGTTCCGCGGCTGAAAACTCTTTGCAAGGGCCATGTCGTGAGCCGTTTGCTCTTAGGTAAAGTCAAGCGCGTTGTTTCCAGTCCTCATCTCCCCTTCGCCCCAAAGTCTCTAGGTGACTCCCCTAAAGGTGGCTTTGTCCTCAGTGGCGAAGTCTCACACACTCTCGCTAGGAGCGCACGCTCGCGATTGACATTCCAGTCTCTAAGGACCAGAGATGAAAAATAGTCTCTGGGCCATTTTCCCCAACGCTGAGATTGTTTAGTTAAAAAGATCCAGTAACATCCCGAAGAGGAGCGAAGAGAGCATACAGAAAAACAAAAAGTATTTCCCCCCTAATAACTTCACTACCCAGTCTCACCAACGAGCCAGAATGACACCCCCTCTTCCCAGAGGGCCAACAACACTTCAACACAGGGGGGCAGGCAAAGTTTAGCAGGGAATGAAGATGAAGCCACAAAAGGGGGCCCCGGGGTGCGTCCCGGGCGTACCCCAGGGCCCGCTCCCTTCTCCCTCTTACTTTTGGATGATCTGGGGCAGGCTGGCTTGAGGCTGCGGCGGTGGCGGTGGCGGCAGGGGCTGCATCCCTCGCTGGCCCTGGGTCGCGGGGGCCCCCTGAACACCAGGCGCAACGCAGGCATCTCTGTCGGGTTGCTCCGGACCGCTGGGATCCGCGTCCTGGCTCATGGCTGCTGCCAGCACCATGCGCGGCGACACCGGCCCGGGCTCGCAGCGAAAGAGCGCGAGGGAGGGGCGGTCCCGGAACACAGGCAGCTCACTGGCCGGGGTCCCTGTGCCCAGTCCCCTTGTCCTTCTCGGTGGCGCGGGGAGGAGACGCGAGGGGCGGGGAGGAGACAGTCCCCGCGGCGCCGCCTCCTCCTCCTGCGGCTCCCGCTGGTGCGGCTACCGAGGGGGGCGGAGGACAGGGACAGGGACAGGAACAGGGACAGGGACAGGGACAGGGACAGGGGGCGTCTCCGGGCCCACGGGAGCCGAGGGGAGCCCAGGAGCTGCTGCGCTCAGGGTGAGCGGGACAGCTGCGCCTGCCCACCCGAGGCGCAGTGAGCTGGGACGCAGAGAGCAGCAAGCGCCACCAGTCACCGCGAGCCCTTCGGGGTGGCCAGCCAGGCTCTCCGCAGCGCGACACCCGCGTGAGAGGGCGACACGCCCGCCCGCCCGCCAGCCAGCCACCCTCCGCCGCCCTGCCGCTTCTCCCGGAGCACACAGCCTGACCCGCTCCGGCCGAGCCCCGCGGACATCGCCAGCGCGAAGTGTGCCCCAGGCTTGGCACCCTCCTGAGGCTCCTGGAGCAAGGCCAGCGCCACTGGAGGGACCCGACCCGGTCACAACCTTCCCTGAGTGGGTGGCTGGGTGGGACAGCAATCTCTGGGCTCAGATTATCAAGCCCAGAAAGTCACCACACTGGCAGTTCCAGCTGTCGCTTCGGGGGTCCCAGAGGCAGCCGGTGGGGTCGCTGTGGGTTCATTTCTTTTTCTTTTCACCTACCGAGACCCCATGAGAGCAAAAACAAAACCAGGCAGACGTTTCGTCCGTATTTATTGGCACATCTCCGTCGAAATTTAAAGGATGAGAAGGACAAAGTTCACCGACTCTGCCTCTAATTGCCCGGCGTCTGCCTGTGCCGGGCACCTGTGTCACAGGGCCGCAGCTGACACAGGGTCGCAGCTGTGCACACCCACAGAGAGGCTTTGTAGGCAGAGCAGCCGCAGGTGCCGATGCTCAGATTAACGCGTGTGGAGGAAACACCTGGTCCAGCAGACCCCAGCACCTGAGCTAAGGCCTGGGGTGTGGATGTCCCGGAGATCCCTCCCGGCTGTGCGGTTCACCGGTGTCACCGGTGTCCCAGACCGGGACGCGGGCAGCCAGAGTGCAGCGAGCTGTCCCCACGGCCTTAAGTCCCACCAGCTACTGTACTGTACTGTAAAGATGGCTTCTCAAAAACCTGACGATTACTTGAATTGTCTGAAAGATGACTTTTTCCCCCTCCCTTGTCATTAATCTCCCTTACCCACCCCAGGAAAGTTCTTACTCCTGCCACCCTACCTGAGGGAGGGCTCTCTCTGTCTCTGTCTCTCTCTCTTTCATATATGTATATATATACATTATATAAACTTGTGTCCACAATTACAGTTATTTGTGTTCTAAACATCACACCACACTTCACACAACTAAATCTGGGGCAGGGATCCCTGTCAAGCAAACACAGCTCGCTTGCTGGCCTCTCTGAGAAGCCAAGAGCTTGTTGTCTGAAGACGTGAGGCTAGGAAGTCTCGTCCAGTTTTCTGTGGTTGATTTCTGTTGCTGAATCCTTGACTGTGGCTTCCAAACACTCCATCTTATCCACCGCCAGCCCCAACCAACACACATTCCCTTGACCCCGGAGGGAAATTACCTAAAACTAACATTGCAACTCTCCCATAAATGAAAACGAATGACGTCTTCCCAAATGTTTTCACTGAAACATCTGCTGGAGAATCTTCTGAAAGCTCTGACGAGGCTTTGTAGTCACTGATGTAGAGACAGATGCTTGTGAGTCAGGAACTGCAATGCTTGGACAGAAAGGCAAACTCTCAGAGTGTCAGCCGGCAAAGGCTAAGCAAACTAGGAGCCATGAGGCCCCGGGTTCCAAGTCAGGGTGAGAGGTGGCGACGTTTCTGGCGGGCAGGTGTTCAGAGTCGTGGCTTTTTACAGGTGTGATTCTACAGCCCACTTAGCCAGCGTGAACGAGCCTAGGAAGCTGAGTGAGGGGAAGCCACCGCAGTGCTGCTATTAAAGACTTAAAAACATGGGGCTCTACAGACTCCTCCCCAAGGGAATGAGTGGAGAGATGGGGGCGGGGCGGGGGGGGGGGGCCCCGGAGCGCTCACCCTGACAGCGGAGCAGAGGGACATTGAATATTCCCTGGGCTTCTCTCAATTCTTTTTTGTGAGTTTGGGGTGCGGGGAGCATGATTCACAGGCATTTCCCCCCAGAAATCCTATTTCCATGATTATAGCTTTAACATTTGCCATTTATGGTATAGTCCTGAAGGTAGGGGACGCTAACTGAGCCAGATCCCCGGACAACGTCGCCTGGGATGATAGAGAAGAATCACTGCTACTTTCCGAGTCAAACAGTAAACACACTGAACAGTTGGAGGGTGGGTTTACTTTTCCTCGCTTTTTGTCCAGGCCTGACAAACAACAAAGCCCGTAAAGATAATTATCTCGGATCCTAACTGACCCCCAACACACACACCACCCATGCCCTAAGAGCGTGCTTCACAGTGAGCGAATGAGAAAGGCCGAGTGGTCTGCTTCCCAGTGAGTGTGTGTGGTGCGTGTGCGTGGGGGAGGGGGTTACTGCAGGGGGAGGGCTGACGGCGGCTCTTCCCTGCACTCGGCAGAGGCGTACTGTGCCTCCTCAACAGACACACTGCTGTATACGGACATTTAGCAGGAGGAAGCGGTGAGGTCCTCTCATTGTAACTCCGTGAGGTGACTGGCACTGCTATGTTTTACAACCCAGGAAGCTGAGTCTCTCAGACAGCTATAAGAACTTTGCTCAAGGTCACCCAGCTTCTAAGGGGCAGAAGCAAGACCACCACCGGTAGGTCCGTCCATCCTCAGATCCTCTGCCGAGTGCAGGGAAGAGCCGCCGTCAGCCCTCTGAGGTCTGTAAACTAGCAGGCAGTATGGGAATTGTCTTGGGGACATCTAAAGAAATGAAGGAACCTTGGGGAGGTGGTAGAAAGGAAGCAGAAATACACCCTGCTCTCTTGTTACTCCAGGGTCGTCAACCGTTCTCAAACTTGCTGTGACACTGGCACCCTGCCTTGTCTTGAACCCTGAATAACTAACATTACTGAGTTTCAGGTTCTGTTTTCTCACGCCTGCTCATTTAAAGCCACCACTCTGCAGACAGAGAAGCTTGGAGAGCATGTGCAGCTTTTCCAGGACGCTGAGCGCAAGAGCTGAGGCTCCGGGCTCAGTCTGTGTCCCCTCTGTCCTCTATTTGCAGGGGAAGTCGCCTGCCTTTCCGGCTGGTGCACCTGGTCCTCTGCAGAGGGGGCCGTTTCAGATGTGCTGCCCTCGGATACGTCCACCGGGAGGTGGTAAAGTCTGGTGCTCCCGAAGCCAGCAAAGCTGGGAGAAAGACCTCCTCGTTCTCTGCTGCAAGGGAAAGGGCAAACCGCTGCAGTCACTTTGCCTGTGAGCTGGGGCTGTCTAATAACATTGTAACAAGGTTGGAGAGGGGGAATAGACAGGAGGGGGATGCAGGGAAGGACGGTGAGGGAGGTGGGCGAGTACCAGAACGCCATGAAACCCCGTATCTCATACCTCATACGCTAACTACACTAACTAAAAACACGTAGTGTTGCATTTCGAGGCACTTTCGGGGGAAGTGACTGGTGGTGTTCACAGTATCAAAGCAACCAAGTGAGCAGTGGGAATGGTTGCTGTACACAAAGGTCTTCTTGGAGCTGAGCTTTTGACTACTCTGTGCAGTGTTTCTTGGCGACTCAGCTCGCCTCTCTCTGACCCTCCCTGCTGCCTGTGCTACCTCATCGTTCTTTGTCTTGGCCCCTTGGGGGTGGCATTACGAGCTTGCCAGTCTCTCCTCTCCCCGTGCCATCCCTGCAGATGTTTGTGAGCAATCAATCAAGAGCTCCATCCCGGCTTCTCATAGAATCACCTCTGAAAAACAACAACAAACAAACAGGAGAGCCTGGCCCAAAGATGCTGTTTAAAAATACTGTGGTTACTCATGGGACTGGACACACATTTGAGTGTGGAGGAGACAGACAGGCAGGGAACTTTAGCTGAGGACCGGTGAGGACATGACCCAAGTTAGGCTCTTTTCTGCCTAACAACTCAGAGGACATCTCTCATTGGCTGCCCAAGAGAGCTTCGCCTCCATCTCATTGGCTGGGAATTTACCGGCCAGACCCTTTGTCCTCTGACAAGCCTGTGGCAGGTACTTTATTGTGGTCAAAGAGGCTGTGGGTTGGGAGTCCAGAAACCCGGGTTCTAGAGCACTGTGCACACCCCACGTCTACAACAGAAACAAAGTTACCCCACACCAGTGATGTCGGTATCTCTGCCTCCTCCCAAAGCACCATTGTCTCAAGCAGGGGTACAGTGCTTCCCTCTGTCGCTTGATGGGGACCTGGCCACAAACCCAGTACAGGCTGGGTCCAGAATCCCAGTGACTCGAGCAGCAGAGTGCAGGCTTGTCTGGACCTGGCTCCCTCTGGAGGAAAGCGTTTTGAGGCAGGCCTGGATGAGCCAGAAAAGGTGTTCTCTCATTTTCTGTTTAGAAGAAACTCAAGGCAGGACCCCATACAGCTTTGGGTTAAAAGCCAGTCACTACTGACTTTCTCACGGGTGGTGAGGGAGGCATGGCGTGCATGTGGGAGAAATATTAGCTGCAGGCTAATTGCATGATTTAAGTTCCATGGGGCTCTGCACCCCCTGGGGAGACCCGGCTTCCACACTCCATGCTTAATCCCTGGAGAATGTCACTGTCACTCAAGAGGCCCCAGCCAGGCGATCAGTGATTCCGGGAGAGAGGGGATTCCTTCATCCCAACCCTCCCCCCATGCCCTGCTCTGTCTCCTCTAATCACCTGCCTGTCTGTCTGTCAGGCCAGTTGGTCGTCAGAGCAAAAACATTTCAGGCCTCGTGCCCACCGGCTCTGGGATCAGGTGACCATTATGGAAGGCTACACCGGAGGCCTCTGCATGCCAGCGTGTGGCCAGGAACAGTGAGAGCCTGCTGTGTGCTGACCTCACAGAGTGGGCGCGCATGCAGCTGGCCCGGCGTGATATGGCTTCTTTCGTGGTCCCTGAGCAGCCCACGGCCACAGGAACCCCTGCTGGTGCCCTCTCTGCACAGACTGTGGCGGGGGACGCCTAGCCCCGAGGTCTATGAGCTGTTAGTTCAGTCCCTTTACTTCTTTGGACCCCTATGTCACTTTCTGAAAGACAGAAACAGAGCCCCGTGCGGTGGCGCACGCCCGTAACTCCAGCATTCAGAGGCAGAGGCAGGAGAATTGGGATTTCAAAGTCATTGTTGGCTGCTTCAGGAGTTTAAGGCAAGACTGGATCTCATGAGACCCTGACTCAGAAAAGCAAAAAGGAAACAAGGGGTTTCCAAAGGGGCTAAATGAAAAAACAAGCCAGTGTCGTCTGGCTTCTGATGGCACTCCGTAGGCCGCTGTGTTTTTATTGTGACTCGTGGACGTCCTGTGAGAGGAGGTTGGTAATCTTCGTGAGGTCCTTCTCTGGATGTGCTCACCCTCTGGGTGAAAAGATCCCATCACAGAAACAGACAGAAGAGGGACAGGGCCATTGTCAGAGGAGCTCATGGCAGCGGAAGAACCACAGACCAGGATTTGGGTCCTGGTTCTGCCCAGTGCCATCAAGCTAGTGAGAGTGAGCTGCCCAAACCCTCAGTATTTACCCACTTTCCTCATCCGTGAGACGGGCGGGCGTGACAGGTCGCTCTTCCGGTGTTGGTGAGCTCAGGCTTGGCTCAGGGTCACCTCTCCGTGGACCACGGCTGTGATGATGACATCCTGTTTGCTCCCACATCATGCGGCATCTGGTGAGGCCAGGACAGTAGGAGAGCAGAGGAGACTCTGGCTCCCTTCCATTTGGGATTTGGTGGTGGTGGGTGGGGACCCTCAGGAGGGGGCATGCCTACTTCTTGGACTGTTTCCTGAGATATGACATTTCAGGTGGTTTAAAGAATCCTAAAGAGGGGCTGGGAATATTGCTCAGTTGCCAGAATGCTCGTCGAGCAGACACAGATCCCTGGGTTTGACCCCAGCACCACGGAATCTGGCCTAGTGACACATGCCTGCAATCCCAGCACTCAGGAGGTAGAGACAGGAGAAGCACCAATTCACAATCCTCCTTGGCTGCGTGAGGAGTTTGAAACCAGGCTGGGATTTTAAGCTGAGCTGTGTCCTCCCAAAAGCTGTGGTGAAGACCTGATCCCTACAACATGAAAATGTGATCCGGGAATTAATCTTCGAAGATGTAATCAAGTTAGAGCTTGAGGGTGAAGGTGACGCCTAATCCAACGTGGTGGGTATCTTACAAGAGGCGGGGGATTTTAACACGGATTCACAAGGGACAGCGCCGTGTAAAGGTGGAGAGAGCAGTGGGGTTGCTACTCAGCTGCAAGCTAAGGGACACCAAATGATTGACAGCAACCAGTTGCCAGAAGCCAGGAGGAGGTAGGGAGGGGTCACACCCAGACTCGAAGCCCCACTGGAATTCTGACTTCTAACCCCCAGACGTATGGAATGATAACGTTACTTCAGGCTCCCTAGTTTGTCGTATCTGGTTATAGCAGTTCTGGGAAAGTAACGAGGGAGGGAAGAGCTGGGGAGGCGACTGTTTCTTGATCTGAGCCCCCCAAATAGAGGGAGAAATGCACAGCCAAACGCCCCGTCTTACACCCATCCCAGCAGGCCTTGGACCTCCTTTCTGGTTCCTTCCAAGGAAGACAAGGTGTCTGGATCTAGTAAGAGACTAGGTAGGGAAGGTACAGCGAGTTAAGCAGCCTTAGTCCAAGAAGGAAGCATTCTGGCGTCATGCAAACCTCGGCGGTCCCACCCTGGCAGAGCCTTTTGGGTTGCCTGGGAGGGCAATTCTGCATCCTCCGCCCGCCCACTTCCTCTTGTTCGCCACTGGTCCCCACCCACCGAGAGTTCCCCACCCACACTCCTGCCAGGCTGAGACTACTTACTCATCAAGCTTCCACGCAGACTCCTCCCACCTAGGAACGCCTCCGTTGTCAGAAGGTTGATGTACTCATGATTGGCATACCTCACTTAGTAGCTCACCGGACATCCGCTGAGAGAGGTCACGTGTGTGGTCCCCTGTTGCTGCCTCTTCCTTTGGTTTTTCCTCCGTCATTCTTTGTTCCCCGGACTCTGTGAAGAGCACCCAGGCCGTGTTTCGTGGAAGCTCTTTCGGCATCATCATTGCCTGTCCCTGCATGAACTTACGTTTCTTTACTTGAGGCAACGCAAAAATGCTGACTATGAAAATGTAGAGAGGCCGGGCAGTGGTGGCACACACCTTTAATCCAGGGCTTGGGAGTGAGAGGTTGGATGATCTATGTGAATTCGAGGACGGCCTGGTCGACAGATCCAGTGCCAGGACAGGCTTCCAAAGACCTATCCTCCTCCTCACCCCCCCCCCAAAAATCTAGAGAGCGGGGGTGGGGGGGTTTGGTTTTTTAATTTTTAAAAAAATTTTTTTAGCTCTTCTGCGGTTCTGTGGTTGCACTGTTACTAGAGACGGACGATGGTAGAGTCAGACAGTCTTTGCCTGGACCTTAACTGTGTGAACTTAGACAACACACCTAACTGTTTTGCGTCTGTATTCTCATCTATAAGGCAAGGCTTCCTGATAGGGAGACTCACAACACTGTGTGGCAGGCATACAATCAGTGCGGAGTTAATCTGTGGAATGAACAATTTGTGTAAGTGTTCAGTCCATGTCAGCGAAAGTTACCTAAGGTTGACAGTGGCCAACAAACTCAAGTTTCCCTAACCACACATTACACCGCCACACGTTTCTGTGTCTCACTTCTGTGTGGGATTTCTTCCCAACAGCTAGCAAACTGCAGTTCAGTTCACCATCCATCTGGCTGGATTTTCTTTTAAAGATTTATTTATTTATTCATTTATTTAGTTATTGATTAAGGTACGCAGTGTTCTGCCTGCATGCCAGAAGAGGGCGCCGGATCACGTGGTTGCTGGGAATTGAACTCAGGACCTATGGAAGAGCAATCAGTGCTCTTAATTTCTGAGCCATCTCTCTAGACGTGCTGGGAAAGTTCTTCACAGCCAGATACAAGACAGGAAGGAGGGGACTGGAGCATCCTGAGTTAGAGAAGAGGGGCGCTGGCCTCTGCGGCTTTGAGCATGGACTTGCAGACCAAGTTTCACGGTTCCTGGCTCATAGACACCATGGGTCAGGTTTCCTGCCAAGCAGACACTGGGGGTGAAAAGGGGTACAGAAATATTAGGAAGTCAGGATTGGGCAGAAGGGAAGCTGCGTGTGAGCAAGTTGTAAGGGAGATCCCAGCCGGCATAGAACGTTCACAGTGGTTCTCAACCTGTGGATCTAAACCCCGTGGGGCAGAATATCAAACACCTGCATCTCAGATATTTACATTACAGTAACAAAATTACAGCTATGAAGTAGCAGCGAAAATAATTTTACGGTTGGGGGTCTCCGCGTTAGGAAGGCTGAGAGCCACTGGTCTGAACCCCGATGACCCTTCACAAGTGACAAAACAGCCTTCAGCTCCTCCATGTCTGCATCCCCCAAGGTTGACGTCTAAGAAAACTGAGTGTGCATCTCCCTCAGTGATCCAGTCGCCCACGTCACCTGCTCTGGCTGTGATGAGCACATAGATGGCCACAAACCCACCTACAGCCAGAAGACGTGTCACCCCCTCTGCTGAGCTGTGTCTCTTCCCCCCTTGGTGATGGCAGCCCTCCCTGAGGTCCCCAACTGAAACCCGGGAGTCACAGGGTGCCAGGGTGAGCGGTTTCGGGTCCTGATTGCGCTCCATTCTTAGCTGGAAAAAAAAAGTTTGACATGTCCCAGGGGTTTGTCACAGCGGGTGTGTCCTGAGCCCCAACAAGCATTTCAAAACAGTTGGCGCAAAGGAAAGATATTTGAAAAATGCTTGCAAAAAAGATGAAATAAATATGTATACAGAAAAGTTTTTAAGAAGCACACACAGGGTGGTCCTCAGACAGAGCCCAGGCTTAGTCCTGGAGAGGCTGGGCCTCTGGAATGTTCTGTGCCTTGAACTGGGTGGTGGTTCTGAGGATACATTTACTTGGCGGAAACCATTCAGGCTGTGCCTATACAGGGAGGTCCTTGTCTACATGTATGTTTACATTTCTGTGAACATCTCCTTAAAAGTCGGAGAAAGAAAAGATACAGTAAATCTCACACGGTCCAGTCAAGCACGGCACGGTAGGAAAGCCACACCCCTCACTCTTGTTGAGTGTTTTCTTCCCGTCCATAGTCTCGAGAAGGTGGGTTTTCACAGCAATGCAAAGTCCCTACAACTTCCCCGACACCAGCAAGTTAAGGTTCAGGGGTGGCTTTGTTGTTATTGTTGTGTGTTTGTTTGTTTGTTCGTTTTTTGAGACATGGTTTCTCGGTGTAGTCCAGGCAGTCCTGGAATTCACTCTGAAGACCAGACTGGCCCTGAACTCACTGCTTCCAGAGTTCTGGGATTAAAGGCATGTGCCACCACAGCCTGCCTCAAGATTTAGGTTTTTAAAAATGAGTTACGGCGATCATTATTGTTTTGTATCCTAAATACTCAGATAACTTTTTTTTGAGACAGGGTCTCATGAAGCCCAGGCTGCCCAGAACTTGCTATATAGAACCAGGATAATCTTGAACCTCTCACCCTCCTGATTCTCCTGCCTCTACCTCCCAAGCCCTGGGATTACAAGCATGGGAATCGAACCCAGGACTCTGGGTAGGCTAGGCAAGCATCTTCCAAGTGAGCACATCCCCTCTCCTCTGCCTCTACTGTCTTTTTCCTGCACTACTGGAAAGAAAGTTGTAGACACCATGACTGCTCATTCATGAAAAACAAAGATTCGCAAAGAACCACCATACCCATGATGACGTTAAGACTCCCAAGACTGAGGGACGCCTTGCCCAGCCTAGACACAGGGGTGTGGAGGTGGAGAGGTGCCTTGGTCCTGCCTCAACCAGATGATGGGGCAGACTTAGTGGACTCCCTGAGATTTGCTCAGTGGGTGAGAGCATGAGCCGTTCTTGGCAACGGCTTCAGTTCATTTCCCAGCACCCGCAACAGGTGGCTCACAGTTTACCATAACCCAGCAAGAGAGGGGCTCCAGCTCCTCCTCTTCCGCCTGAACACACAGACATGCACACCCCCCCACACACACACATAGTTAAAAAGAAAGTTTTCCACAGACAAAAACTACCTAGGAGGCGTGAGTTTCCTATTGGTTCCATCTAAGGCTAAGCAGCCTCGCTTGGTTAAAATGGGTCCTATCTTTCCCCTTTGTCATTACAATCTTTCTACTAATGCTATTTCTATCTATCTATCTATCTATCTATCTATCTATCTATCTATCTATCTACCTATTGTCAGCGCTGGGGGTTGAACCCAGGGCTTGTGTGTGTGTTTTGTAGGCAAACACATTCTACCACTGACCTATGATGTCACCAACGCTTTTTAATTCTGAGACAGCATTTCAGCTAAGTGGCCCAGGCTGCCCCTTAATCTTAAATTCCTGCCTCAGCCTTCCAAATAATGTGTATAAAATGTGGGACCGTTTAGGTAGGGTATCCACCAATGATCATTTAATGCCCGTTAATGATCATTGTTATTCATTACAACTGTTTTTCTAATTTTATATCAACCTGAGTTTATTAGCTGATTTCCCTTTGTGAAGAAAGAGCTTGCATGCCAAATACAATGGTACATAGTTGTCATCCCGGCGCTCAGGAGACTAAAACAAGAGAGTCACAAATCCCAGGTCAACCCAGCCCATATGAAGAGACCCCATCTAGAATGCAGAGAGCAAGCACCGAAGAAAATCTTGACTCCTCCCCATCTCTCTTTATCTCACTCTCCGATCTTTTTACAAAAACAGTTTAAAAGAACCACGCAGCTTTTTTTCCAGTGAACTATTCTTTCACTTCCTTTATACTTTCAAAACTGTTTTATTAGCACACACACACACACACACACACACACACACACACACACACACACACCCCGCATTTTAAGGCAGATTTATATACAATGTTGCTTTCCTTTTCTTTTGACTTGCCTGTTTGCTTTTTCCACATCCATTTTAGTTTATTTTTACGTAGTGAAATGTATTGGTTGTCACTACTGTTGAATTTGGATCTTGAGTCAGAGTTAGAGAAGTCCCCACATTAACCTATCTTTTTTTAATTCTCACATCTCCTTTGAGTGTCCATGTGATTTATTTTCACGCTAAGATGTCTGTTTGGAGTTATTCTGGTGTGCAGTGTGAGGCATGCCTCCCGTTTTAACCTTCTCCAAATGGCTGTCCAGTTGTCCCCAGGCACTTGTCAAAGGATCAGCTTTTTTTTTCAATATTTAAGATGCCCTGTTTATCCAATGGTGAATTTCCGCGTGGACTTAGGTCTAATTCTGGACTTTCCATTTTATTCTAATAGCCTCTTTGTAGGGTGAGCCCACAAAACTCTCCATGCCTAGAAGGGCGGGGTAGGGAGATTAGCACAGGTGGGATTTTTAAGGAAAAGAAAAGTAAAAGGGTCTCTCTCTACTTTGGTTGGCCAGCCCCTAACCCCCTTTTCTCCACCTTTCTGCCAATAAACTCCATTTAGTATATATATTGGTGATTATGGGTCAATAATTAAGTCAGAGCTAGACATTGAGAAACAATTGTATATGGCCAACAGCTTATAATTAATATAGTGTCCCGTGTGTTATTTGGGGGTTCAGACAGCTCGGCAGGGCCTAGAGGCGGCTGGCGGGGAAAACTACATCTCTTCATTTACCAATTTTAATTATAAACTCTATATAACATAATTTATTGTTTCACAACCCTCTCCTCACAGCTCATTTTTGGGGTGTGTGTGTGTGTGTTCATATAAGCTCCAGAACAACTTTTCCAGAAAAAAATGGACATCTTCCTTAA